TGCTGCTGCTGCAGTATTTTAACAGTAACAAACTGGCCCACAGCTAGCTGCAGCTGCTGCAGCGGCTGCTGCAGCAGCACGTCGGTGAGCTCTGTTATATGAACAGCAGCAAGAAGCGGCACCCGCAGCAGCAGCAAGCTGCTCTCCGACTGCAGCAGCAGCTGCGACAGCTGTACATACACCCCAAGCGGCGGCCGCAGCAGCTGCTGCACCCTCCCCTGGCAGCAGACCCCAGCACTGAACCGCCACCGCTGTGCTGCAGCAACTGCTGCACCCACAGACTCAAACACCTGCTGCAGCAGACACGCAGCAGCAGCAGCAACAGCAGCAACAGCAGCAACTTCAGCAGCTGCAGCAACGCATATATATATTCATGCAGCAGCAAAGGCAACAGCAGCAGCAGCGCAATGCACAGAAGCAGCAGCAGCAGCAACAACAACAAACGACAGCAGCAAACACAAAGCGATGCACAAGGCTGCACCCAGCAGCAGCAGCAGCAGCAGCAGCAGCAAGAGCAGCAGCAGCAGCAAAAGTAGCAACACAAATAGCAGCAGCAGCAACAGCAACAGCAGCAGAATATAGAGAAGGCTCAGCAGCAACAATACAATAAAAGCAGAGCATGCTGCCCTTCCTGCTGCTGTTGCTGCAGCAACAGCAGCAGCAGCAGCTGCTGCGGCTGCTGCTGAAGAAACAGGCAGCAAGTTTCCCCTATGCGTCTGCCAGAGGCCCAGCAGCAGCAACAACTGCTGCTGCTGCTGCTGCTGCTGCTGCTTACATTCTTAATTTCGTCAGGAATTGGAGCTGAAGCAGCAGCAGATAGCTGCGGCGCTAGCAGCAGACTTTGCTGCAGCGGCGGTGGCGGCAGCAGCAGCAGCCTATCCTTGAGTTTTTCTTGCTGCTGCTGCTTCTTCTTCTGCTGCTGCTGCTGCTGCTGCTGCTGCAGCTGCTGCAGCAGCAGCAGCTGCTTGTCCTGCACTGCGTTGCAGGGGCCTACAACAAGGAAC